TTGTGATGTTTTGGCAAACTAAGAGCCAGACTCAGGGCAGGGTCGTGTATTACAGTATTTTTGATGATGTGGCAAGTTATGTTTTCTTGTTTTCAAGGATGTAAGAAGGCAGTTTTTTTTAAAGTGCTTTTATTAGAAGCAAAAGAATAATTCACTGCTTGTGGCAGCTTTTTGTTAGCAAAGAATAAGCAGAACTGCCAAAATTGCTCATTAGTGTTCAAAACCAGTTGCCAGGCAAACACACATTATAGAACATCACGGGTATACTATGAAAACGTTTTCATAAATTCAGTGCAGAGAAAGATCTACTTTCCTTTGCCTTCTATTTTTAAACCAAATACAATCTAGTTTTTTTCAATTGCCCCACTGGCTTCTGTTTCTATGTCTGATCTGGCCTTGGAATGTGGTACCGGTTCTACAAATGCTGGTTGCCCTCTGACCATTGTTTGTGTGAGCTTTGTCTGTGACTGTAGGGCAGCGGTCTCCAACCGATAGGTCTGGGGCCAATTTAGCCTTCCCCAGCTGAAACCAGCAAACTCAGTGTAGACTGAGATTCAAACCAAGCTCCGAGTCCGAAACAGCAGCTCAGCCATCTAAACCGTTGAGGCTGCCGTGCTCTTTATATTCTTGACAGGGCACACAAATCATTCCCAGAAGTTATCTGATTTGGTTTTCTATTGCACTGTTCCTAAAATTACACATCATTCAGCATTTCACTCATCACGTATTTTTCTATCAAGTACAACACAGCACGGTTCTGATCAGTTCTTGACTGTGAAAGTGTTTACTTTTAGATTCTTGCTTGTGCGGGAATTTTATCTGTCAACTTTAGTTGGCATGTTACAATTATAGTTCACTTTCTGTTAAAGTGGCTTAAATTAATGGGACCACGGGATCTGACAGTCTTCATTTTAAATCCACATTGTCTCCAGTAACTTTAATTAGGAGGTTCCTCATTGCCAAACTCATGTTATTAAGGTCAAACTGCACCTATTTCAATAGAGGCTTGAGTGATACAGCCTTCATAGCTAAGTTAAATGAGTTGTATTCATTTAGTGAACTTATAGGTCTCCATGGAGGGAGAGGAGTCTTGCATCCGTTTACTTTTTGGACTTTTCGATGAAAGGCGAGTTCCGTAGAAACAAAGTACTCTGTTCTTGCTTCGAAGAGACTGAATTCAACACAAGGACGTTTTCTAATTAAAAATAGTTAGTTTACACATTTTCTCACATTATGAATCTGGACATGCAAACTGCACAGCACATTCAGATTCATATACATCGAACATTATTCAAAGGTACATCAGGGTGCTGTTAATCATTGACAGAGCTGTGGACGTTCTTTTCCTGGTTGTTCAATTTAGGCTGCGAGGGGATGCAGTGAGGGAGAGAAAGTTTATTTTGTTATAAGCGTTGATTCTTATTGACTCCAGTTTAGTCCAGATAAAGATGCTAGCCTCCAGGATTTGTTTTGAGTTTGTAATAATTGTGATTATTGTTCTGATATAACAGTGAGTGCAGCTACTTTTCTTTTGTCAGAATGCATTTGTATAACTGCAGTTTTGAACAGTGATCACCTTGATTGTGTTTTAAGTGTTGGATTAGTGGACATAATCCTCAATAATGGCTACAGGAGTACAGCAACAAAGAAATTCTCTGTAAGGTGTCGAAAAACTTCTGTATTGGTAGTTGAAACTTGCAGGTGCTCTTCTCTTCTCCCCGCCCCCCCAAATTTGTAGAGTAGAAGCCTTATGTTTGCTTTTGCAGCTAGCGACTCTTGGGAATTTGTCTGACGAGATGTGACGCTGTGTGCTGAGTAGATGATCAGCCCAATGGAATGCCTGCCTTTCAGTGAGTGCACAATTCAGGAATTTTCCTATCTTGAATTCTCATACAAGATAATGATCTTAAGGAATTGTTTGGCGTATGTTCTTTACTCTGCCTTTGCCAATAGCTGGTAGAGAGTTACTGGACAAATCGAGGATGTCCTGATCAGTGGCAGTAAAGCTTGGACATTGATGTTCTTAGGAGTCTTGAGAATTAACTGCTACATGGCAACTAAGGAATAAATAGGGCTTGTTGCAGCTACCTGCAGAGGGTGTGTCACCACCAGCTTGCTCTGGTATGCTTCTAAGCGGCATTGGCAAAGGACAAGGAAGAAGACTGTAGGCAGGGAAAGAAACGGTAGAATTTTTTTTGAAAAAAGGCTTGTATACCCTTGCCAAAACTTGTATTTGTTTATATCAAAATGTAACTATAGGCTATTATAAACCACCAATTTGTGGAAAACCCCTACTTAACACAGATGAGGCAGTCTGATGTGGGTGAAAGGGTAATAAAGGAGTGGCGTGGGTTCTGAACCTGATGACCTCTCACAGCTTTGGTCCTGTGCTAATAGCAATGTCTTTGTCATGTGAATGCTGGAAAGTACACAGTTTATCATTTTTTTAACGTTTGTCAAATGGAAGAGGTGATGGGGAAGGAAATACTTATGATAAGAATATTCTAGTTTGATCCCTAGCTTGTGCTCTTAAGCTTTGGTGTAAGGGCTACTCATTCCTCTCTAGTTTTGCAGGGGAAATCCAAAGATAAATGATTCCCACGCCGTGTTTGGTCTGTTTAGTGTTTAGGCTTTAAATGTTAGTTCGTGGAATATTTGACCAGCCCGGTCCATATAAAGCTTAAAAGTGTAGACTTTGATAACCAGGATCCAAAATATTTTTCTTTTGGAGTTTGTTTGAAAATGGCGAATGAGGGTGATTCGAATAGGGCATTGATCAAATGAGATCATTAATGTTGGAGTTTCCTAAATCAAGGACATGGCTGAACAGCTATTACAGTTGAGTTACTGTAAGTGGAGCCTACAGAAGATGAAATGCTGTCCAGATATAAAATATCTGGCTTGTAATCCAAACAAAATGTCCAAATTGCTCCAGTAATCAGGCCCACTTCTGGGCGGGAGAGTTTATTTCAGTGTTTGTGTGGTTTCAGCTGAATCTCCCACAGTGCAAATAAAGTAGCAGCAATCTGTGTACCAAAGGAAGCAGAGCTGAGTAAATAAGTCTGGACTGTGGTACTATTCCTTTTGACTGAATGTAATGTTCCCTTCAAGGCCAAAAAGGACTTTTTGCATTTTTGCAAGATGTTTTTTTTTCAAAATTCATTTTCTTTCACAATTTGCATGCAATTTAGGGATTCACAATTAGTTCAATGTGTTGGAAAGTGCACTAACCACGTAAATTGTTGTACTCATTGTGGCTTCTTTTTTTCAACTGAAATTGGTGGGGTTTTTTCAAATTTCTAACACGTAAAAAAAACTCCCACCCTTGTTCACTATTGTTCATATTTTGAAGCTGACTCCTCGCTTTTGAATGTTTATATACATGGCAGAAAATGCATTTGATTAAAAAAAACAAAACCCATCATAATTTCAAATACAAATGTTGGGGGTGGGGGGTGTATGGTAGTTTCATAAAAGGCACAGTTTGTCCTTTCTTGATTTTTCTCACCGACTAAATGGGGAGCAACCAGTACAAAGTAAGCAGGCTTGAGACCAAGAGACTACCTGACATTTCAGTCAACCCCAGTTGCTATGTAATGACAATAACATTCTGGAGATAAGTTGGTTTCATCACTGAATTCAAGACCAGAAGGTTTCAATGGTTCCACTCTAGTGTTCATCTTTTTGTAGTCTCGAAAATGATTACAGTCATCTTTACAGAGACAATTTCAGGGGTGGAACAAATTCAGATCATCACCCCTTTCTTGATGAAGTTGTTAATTTAAGGCCCATGTGCCTGGTTTCTATTTTCCTGGTTTCACCCAAATTCACCACAGATTATAATTAATCGGGTACACAATTCATCTCGTTTTTGTTCATACAATGCTAGTGAAAATTAGCTGCCACATTTGCCACTGCAACAATATTTCATTTCTAATTTAACACATTTTGTAAAGCACTTAAAGTTCCTTTTGTCTGAATAAACGCACCTTTTTTGTTGTACCTGCCTGACTGGCACATCAGGAACTTTGAGGTGTAGACACCTCAGTTCTGTGACCCAAGCCCTTACTCTGAGTGGTCATCAAATGTTCCGATGTTTGGGTTGGTGTCTGTGAAAACTCTGTTATTGAGTTACCAAATTACATTAATCACCATGAACTCTATATTACAGCTGTGATGAACTACTGTAGAGTTATGATTAGTATGCATTCCATTGTTCCATTTATGTTGTTTATGTATCTCTCCAGTTGTCGTGTACGTCAATGTTTTGCTTGGAACTGGTGTGATTCATAGATGTTCGACTTGATGTTAGTTTATGAATTTATTTTTAGCTACACTTAATTTAGAAGACTTCTACCCTCTACTAATAGATGAGACAGTGTGGATTTGTTCAGTGATTACTATGGCAGTAATTGCTTGTAGATCACTGGCATGGCAATATTAATAGTCACCCAATTATACACACACCATATTCTTTCCTGCCAAATTGGCGTTGGACCAACACATGGCCCTTTTATTAAGCGCTACCCCACATGAAGGGTGCGATATAAATGCAAGTTGTTGTTGTTAATTGAATCTAGATCAGCTTCCTGTGGTTGGCCTGTGTGTGTGTGTGTGTGTAGAAAAGTGTGGCCTTGAGTAAGAGTTAGGAATACGAATGGACTAACTTATTTGTGCCAAGCATTTAAATGCCAGTGTATTTAGCTTGCTAGTAAGTTGAAAAGATGATCATTGTTGGTATATTTTAAAAATATGGAAGCTGAATCTCACAAGATTCATATCATTTGGGAATGAATTTTAACATCATCGGCAAATATTTCAAGCATTAGTCTGCTTGCGAGAGACTTTGCTCAGTATTGGTTCGTTTCTGGAGGGACCAGTGTTTGCTTTGCTTTGACAGTCTGCCAAGGATTAATGTATTTGTCTTGAAGTAATAAATGAACACCAGTTTCTTTCAAAAATTCAAAGTAATTAAAATCATCTTTTTTTCTTGAAAACAGGGTGAATCTGTCAAGTATTTCCTGGATAATTTGGACCAAATTGGACAGTTGGTGAGTATCAATCATGTTCATACAAAATGTACAGTGATTACCCATTTCAGTGAGTCCTGTGAAGCACTTTGAGACGTCCTTCTAATGCGCTGTTCCACATGCAAGGATTACTATTCATTTTGGAACTCCTTTAAGGGTCTCTTGAGATTTTGGCCACACAATCTTCCCTTCTTCCTCATTTGGAATCTTCCACATACTGATTGCTATCGCTCCCTTGTTGGATTTCCAAAGTTTCCGAAGACCCATTTGCCTCTTTAAGAAGCTTTAAATGTGGACATTTTATTTACCATGCTGTATTGAATCCTCTATGTGTACACTGATAAATGATTTGGCTGTTTTATCAAATACACTTAGAACACCAGTCTGGGGCAAGACCCTTTGGTCAGGGGGATGAAGTGTCTGATTGTGAACAAATGTTCTGCCTGGGAGATTAGCTGCCCCCAGTCAAGCTTCTTCTGGGAATTTGAGTGGAACATTTAAATTGTTGCATTCATCGGGAAGAACACGGCAGTGTATGGACTAGCCTTGGTTTGCATTTTGGCCGCAGTATGCATCAAATGCCTGCCTGTTCTTTAGGTTTTTGCTGGTAGAATCTGATCAATCGAGATCCATCTCCTGCTCTGTCATCTCCCTGAAGAAGAAATTTGTGCTATTCTCCTGACTTCAGTTTGCAACATATCTTGTGGTATATTCAGCCATAATTTCTATAGATATTGGGCAACAAATGTGTCTGGTGTAACAGATGATAAATACAGACTACTGAGGGAATTCAGACTTCAGTGGTTTAGAAAGCTGTGGTATGTCTCCTGGAAATTTACAGTTTGTTTTAAACTTTTTAGTATACAGCTTTAGACCTCTGAGTCAAGCCCTCATGTCCACTGGTGACTCAGTAACTACTATCAGCTCACAACTGTGCTAATCACATTGTTACAATTACAATTAGTCTACAATTTCCACGGCTCATTCAACCATTTGTTGCCTCCCAACTTGATTTCTCTAACCTACTCCTTGCCAGTCTCCCTCGTTCCACTACCGCAAGTTCCAGCTCATACAAAGCTCTTTTGCAGGTGAGGATTCAAGCTCAAATAACTGCCACTTTTGCCTTTTTTTTTTAAAAAAAAGGTCTTGCTTATAAAGCACTTTGATGAGTTTCATCGTGAAAAGTGCTTAGAAGGGCAAGTTCTTCATTTCATTTATACCCATTTACTGTAACTTAGGGTGTTGCAGCTTTTCTGAACTAGGCCACTAGATGGCACTTGGTATTGATGAAGATGCAGCTGCTGAATATGGAGCATTCTGTACATGAAGGACAACTTCAATGAGTTGAGTGATGATTGTTAACCTGAGGCATTTCAGTAGTCGCTGGTTATAAGTGCCCTTTGTAGTGATCTCGTATTCAGCTTTTAAATAATCAAATTGAGAATTTAAAAAAAACACTTTAAGTCCTTTTCTTGTCTCGTTTTGATTTTAGAACTGGTCAAAATCAAGTATTACTGAGTATTGCTGTTACCTGGCCTGTAGCAGCCCACTTGCCCGCTTTTTTCAAGAAGGTGTCTGACTTAAATATATACGTGTGTGTATATATATAATATATATATATGCATATATATACATATATTATATACACATATATATAACCGTGACTCATCTGAGCCCGCTTACCCTTCATCGCTGGGAAATTTATAATATATTGTTATCAAACTGATCCTCTTTGTGTTTTATTTCAGAGTTATCTTCCCAATAGACAGGATGTACTGCTCGCCAGGAAAGCCACCAAAGGCATTGTGGAGCACGATTTTGTCATCAAGGGGATCCCTTTTAAGATGGTGGACGTGGGCGGTCAACGGTCGCAGCGGCAGAAGTGGTTTCAGTGCTTCGACGGCATCACGTCCATTCTCTTCATGGTCTCCTCCAGCGAGTTCGACCAGGTGCTCATGGAAGACCGGCGGACAAACCGCCTAGTGGAGTCGATGAACATCTTTGAGACCATTGTGAACAACAAGCTCTTTTGTTGCGTCTCCGTGATATTGTTCCTGAACAAAATGGACCTGCTGGTGGAGAAAGTGAAGGCGATCAGTATTAAGAAATATTTCCCGGACTTTCAGTGGGATCCTCACAGACTGGAGGACGTGCAGAAATACCTGGTGCAGTGCTTTAACAACAAGCGCCGCGATCGCACCAGGCCCCTGTTCCACCACTTCACCACGGCCATCGACACCGAAAATATCCGTTTTGTGTTTCACGCTGTGAAAGACACAATCCTGCAGGAGAATCTGAAGGACGTTATGTTGCAGTGAAGAGGAGAGAGAGAGAGAGGCTGTCTCGCTGGATCATGTTTCCTTCTCAGAATTCGCTCTGCCACCAGCACTATGCGCCCACGAACCCATAGTTTTGAGTGTGCCGTATGTTTAAAGGCGTGGATGCAAAGTAGAGGCAACACCACAGTAAATGAGCCTGTGATAGTTTGTCAAGGCTTCCCAGAAATGTTTTTTAAAGTGTCCTTTCCATTTCCACAAAAGCGCTCAGACATCCGAAGTGTAGTGAGCACTAGCATTAGACTTTCATTGCACTACAAAGCTCTCTTTGAACCTAATCGTTACTGAGCAACAGATTGAGAAGGGAGGGTGGGGAGTGGGAAGGCGGCAATGGGAATCTGGACTGAACAACACATTGTACTATATTGGGTAACAAAATGGTGTGTAGCATAAAGGTACTTCTTTTGAAAAAAAATGTTTTGCAGCATCTATGGATTAAAATAACAGAAAAAGATTGACCACCTTACCAAGTGCTTCATGGACTTGGTTTGGAACCCAGCTGCTTCCTATTCGGATATGAAGCTACAGGTCTTTAATTCTTAGCAGTAGGGAGTGGATCATGTACGTACTCCTAGAAGGTTGATTGTCCTCCTTTCTGTCGTAGCTTTGCAATCTTAAATGAATGTGATGGATGAATGCAGAAGCGACTAACCTGCAACTGTGCTGATGTCCCATTCTAGCAAACATCATAGGGCTCTCAAGTGAAGAACCTGGTTTTAATCCAATTCATTCTCGTTGGCTTCATACAACTTTCACCAGCAATCTGGGGACAATGCAGAAGCTCTCAGTATGCCACAAAGTTCTACTTATTGTCAAATTCTCTGTGGCTGTGTTTTTGTTACTGAAATTGTTGTAATTTGGGTGAATGTCCTGTTGACTTGTGTCTGGTTACTATGCCTTGCGTAGATGTGAAATGTTCAAGCTTGCCACGCGGTCACTCCAGAGAAACTGCAGTTCAATCTGAAACAGAGTGTGTACTAGCAAAATGGGTAAAATTGACGAATAACCTGTTGCATGTGGATTTCACTACACTTTCAGCAGACCATAGATCAAGCCCTGGTCACACAGACTGGCATTGTAGCACAGGTGGTTCTGGAAATGAAAGCTACCTTGGACTTGCTGTTTCTCAGCGAGGACCTTCAGTGCTACCAGATCTCCAGGAAGCTCCTTGGCTTGAAAAGATGAGTAATTTGGTATAGGCTTATGTTTTTCACAGCACCAGCTGTGATATAATGCAGGGTTAGTATTTTGATAGTAGCAAATGGAACTTGACCAGCCACTAAAATCCAATTCAGGTCTGCAATCAGACTCCCATCTTAACCGCTTTCTCTCTCCCCTCCCTCCCTCTCTCTCCTTCGCCCCTACCCCCACCATGACCACTTACATTCGCACAACGCTTAGTACCTTAATCAGCAGGCAGAGATTGCATATTTGGTTTCCTCTAAGATTACTATCCATAAAGCAAATAAATAGTCCATATCAATCTGATTTGATGTAAAAGCAAAAGTCACTGTCCAGATTTGCAGGCATCCATTTGGTTTTTACCTGCCTGGCGTTTTGAGCACTTTTATTTTGTTCATATAGCACAATTTACCTACAGAATTCAATCACTACACTGCGCAGCAAATCCTGTGAAGCGCATGGTCACAAAAGGCGCCGTATAAAACGCAAGGATTATTTATTATTATTACATTTTTCCAGTATGAACTTTCACCTGTTGGGGATGTGGTTATTGCCACAAGTGCTTTGTCACAATGAGTCCTAGTTTTCATTTATCTCTGGAGTACATTGACTTGACCATCCGCCACGTTTGGGACGTTACACTTTGGTATTGACTTATTTAACCACAAAGCTATACCCTGCCCAGTAAGAGAGCTCTTCACTTTGTCACGACACTTGTGCATTTAGTCACTTTTCTTATCTGTAGCGTCTAACTTTATTTGTTCAAACCCAACCTACTTCAAGGACAACGGAAATCCATCTTAGGTTATAATGATGGACAAATTCTTTACTTTCCACCCCAAGAAATCTGATTTCAGATCTCTGAAGTTTAACGTTGGTATTAAACTGAGGCAATTCGGAGGCATTTTCAACAAAGATTTAAACAAAAACAACAATTAGGCATCCAATGATAGTAAGCCTGGACTTCACATCTGTCAGAATTATTCAGTTAACCCGGCGAAGATAATGAGAGCCTTTTTCATTCTTTCTCTCCCTCCCCCACATCCCTGCCTCCCCGACACACATGCACACACAGTTCTGCCTTCAACACATTACTGCCAGACTCACCCTGTGAGTAGCTCTGCCAGAAACTCCTGTTGAATTACTTACAGTGCAGTTTATTTCTGAAATATATAATCATAAATAGCAAATGTGTCTTAAAACCAATAATTGCCTGATAGTTTCCGGAAGAGACCATTCAACCCACAGAGCCAGTTTCGCCATTTTATTAGATTATGACAGATTATTTTAATCCCATTTACTTCATATCCCCAAATGTCCTTACTAATCTATCTATCCCCTTTAATCAACCAGTGGAGAGATTGGAAAGTATGTGGAGAGCGTTGGTCACTGACTTCCAGGACAGAGAACACGCAAGACAAAGTGCAAGTGGCACATATACGCTAAAGGTTCTTTATTTTCAATTTTTACAATGTTCACCAATGAGTCTTACACCTTAAAATCATGAAAGTTTTTATTGTGTAATAATTGGCATTAAAATTGTGGATTTGCCAAACCACACAGTTGTGCCAATTTTTTTTATTCTTGAAAGATTTCAATCTGTGTCATTTTCAGATGCACACTATGGTTGGTGTTGGCAGCCTGCCGTTTTTTTCCCCTCTGTCTCCAACATGCGAGCAAAACATGCGAAAATATTTGCTTCACACTTTTTGTAGTGTTTGTTTTTGGTTAGATGAATGTCTGACGTATGTGGAAAGGCAACCCATGCTTAAGAGCATCCAAACCCAACAGAGTTCCATGTATCCCACCTTCAGTTAAATTCCTGTGTAATGCAATGCGCACTCTCTCTGGAGGGACGAGACCTGTTTACCTAATTCTGGAGGATTCAGGTGCAGACTGGCAATATTTTTTTNGAAATATTTAAACTATATTAGAAAAAGTGATGGTGTGTCAAAAGGCAAAATACTGCAGATGCTGGAAATCTGACATAAAATCAAGTCGCTGGGAACACTCAGCAGGTCAGGCAGCATCTATGGAGAGAGGAAAGTAAGTCAATGACCTTCCGTGTTGTATCAAATCTTTGCTAAAGTTAAAATCTTTAAGTCTTTTTCCCCCTTCCTTCTCCCAGCAATGATTCATACGCAGATTATGTCTGCAAAATTCCTGGGAAATGTTTTAAAACAATTCTCATCTCCAGTGAAGACTTACGTATTTTTAAACTTCATTCCCATTGTATCACGTCTCTGTATTCTGAAAGGAATATCTTGTTCTATCCAGGGAATGTCACATGCAATTTATTCTACAAGTTGTAATGTAAACTAGTCCAAACTAGTTACCCTCAGTACTTTGGAAATCATATGATGAATTCCTGGTGTTTGTTCCCCTTGTAGCTAATGATACATGCTGTGTTCAACCCCCCTTTTTCTTTTCCTTTCTCACAAAATATGACGCAAGTCCTGTAAGTAACTCAATGCAGTTTAAAACTAGAAGGGGTCATGGAACGCTAAAGCAATGTTTTCCATCACCCTAGTTATGTGGTGGCAGACAAACCACAGTGTTCATCCCTTAGTATCCTGCTAAAATTTATTGAGAGCTCTGACGATTAATGAAGTAAGATACTATGTAATTACTACAGACTTCCTTTGCTCATACATCCCAGTGATGATTCCGATCGGTTTACCTGCTGTGTTCATGGTATTTGCATAAAACATTGCTGTTTTCTGGCAAGGAAGCTTAATGTTTAAAAATTACCCCTCCTTTTCGGGAGAGATGGATGGTTTGATGATCGTAACTTCCCATATTTAACACTACCTCCTTCCCTTTACGTACTGTACTTGTAATTTGAATTGCCTTTCCAGTGTCTTTAAATTGAAGCTCTTTCTGTATTGCTGACATGATAGAAATCGGATTTTTGTGTTAGAAACTCGGAAATTAGAAGACGTGCAATATTGGCCACTGTTGAAGCTGCTACTGATGCCTGCTTCACAAGGTGATCTCAAGCAGGCCAGTTTGACATTTCTTTCCCCTCTCTCCTGTTCCCACCTGGGCTTTTTGTGCCCATAAAACCTCCGTGACTTTTGCTGACAGTGGCCCTGTAGAGGTGATTCTACATTTGCTTTGAACCCATTTCTAAGGAAGTAAGGAAGAACGTTCTGGATGTTGTACATAAGTTTTTCTTTAAATCTCCAGAACAGTTGTGCAAAGAGTCTTAACTGTTAGAGAAGTGACTTAAACTCGCAAGTCCCATTTTGCTGGCATTCAAAGATGAAAATTGTTTTAAAATCCCTGTTTGTTATTGTTGTGTTACACTTGAGTTGGCTTTTTTATTTGCTGTACGTTGTGTTGTGTATTGTTTGGGCTATATTGGGCAGGGTGTATAATGTCATTGCATATGATGTTTCACAGTGAGTGTTAACATGGGAGATCACTTGCACCAGTTCCAGTTAACTCCCATTTTATTAGCTTTCAACTTCACATACAATCTAGTTTGGCTCTGACTGGTGAGTGATTTTTTCCCCCTAACCTACAGCTGGGTTTCTAAACACTATTTTATAAGTAAACTCTACGTGCTCCACAAGAAAAGAGCAGCTTGAACGAAGGCAGTAAGAAGAAGTGATTTGAGTGCGTTTTTTGCAACCATTGAAAGCCGAGTTAATACAAGGCTCTTCTATATGAGTCTAAGCGAGCACTGGCATGTCGTTTTGAGACTTTGTTAAAGCCGCAGTTGGAATGTTACAGACATCCCGACTTGCAAAGGATATTGATGCGCTGTTGAGAGTAAGAGGACCGTGACTAATGTTTCTGGGGCGTTGAGGTCTATGTGCTAAGAGGATCAGGGAGTGAGTGAGCTTGATTTCAATGGTGAGAGATAATTGAGGGGGGCATATTACTTGTTGCAGTTAATTTTTTATATCAAAAAAAGTAAAATTAAGGCAAGTTCTTTGGCTGTAATGATGATTCGAGATCCAGAGTGTGCAAGTGTAATTATGCAGCCTTGAGTAAGAAATAAAAATGAAACACTTGTCCACAAAATATACAGTCAATCTACTTTACAGTATATTCTGTGAAGTGCTTTGAGATGTCTCGAAGACATGATAAGATGCTATATTAAATCCAAGGC